TTTCTTTTTATTTTGTTTTATTAGCCATAGTTATATTTGCTAACGTAAATGGTAGAGATAGATACGCATGTTGTATATTATTATATGTTATGCTTTGCGAAAAACCCACGCATTATTTTAGTTATCTGATAATATAATATGCCTATAAAGTTTTAACACTATTTTAACGTTATAAATACTATTAACTTAAGTACTAAAATTTACATATAAATAGTAGATTTAAGCGGTCTCACATAGCTTAAATTGACTTAAGTCATTTAAAAAAATTCAAATGTAATAATAAAAAAATAAAAAATAAAAAAAATGTGTTTTTGCAGAATTTACTTTGAACTTGATAAGTATGTATGCTAAAGGACGTCATAAAAATTGAAATAAATGGTTTTGAATTTGCAAAATTGTTCAACTTGCATGAACATCAAAGTTGGATTATATCTTACGACTTTTCGTTTTTAATTTTCCGAAAAAAATTGACAACTGAAAAAAAAATAACCATATTTAAATTTTATTTTATTTATTGCATTGTGAGAATATAATGTGAAATTAAAACATTAGGAGAACACTAACAAGGTTCCTTTGAATTATAATGATCATAGATTTAGAAAACATATTTGTCACGGCCTGTCCTAAGCCTTTTCTGCCTATATTATAATATTTAAAACGGCTTTTGAACAAGATTAAACCATAAAAGTGATTTTTAATTATGTTTACGACTCGCAAAAACCAAAGATAACACCACATTGTATATAATATTATAAGGATTATCTGTTCCATGAAATGTGAAGTGTAATTTATGATAGCAGTTTATTTTAACGACACGATCGTTTCGTGATTTCACGAAAATCTAACTAGTTGCGAGTGTTGTGACAATTTTATATTGTGGCCTTGTTCAATATGCGATATTTTTTTTAATCTACATCATTTTCGCTACTCTTAAACGTCAAACGTCAAAATTTTAAAATGTCAAAATTTTACAGATAATAAATGCTTTCGATGCGAAGTCCGCTTTAAAAAACAGAGTATTGTATACACTTGATATTGGCGAAATCTAAAAGGAAACTCTATTAACCCAAGAGATAGATAGATAGTTATTATCATCAACGTGATAAGTTTAGGAAAGGAAACAATCGAAGCATTTTTAATTTATCTGTAACCCCGATTTCTTACTGGTGGTAGGACGTCTTGTGAGTCCGCACGGGTAGGTACTACCACCCTGCCTATTTCTGTCGTAAAGCAGTAATGCGCTTCGGTTTTAAGGGCGTGGCAGCCGTTGTACTGCTAAAAACTGAGACCTTACAACTCAAGGTAGGTGGCGCATTTACGTTGTAGATGTCTATGGGCTCCGGTAACCACTTAACAACACCAGGTGGGCCGTGAGCTCGTCCACCCATTTAAGCAATAAAAAAAAGGATTTACGAGAGAAACTGCTCGATCATTTATATATTTTTTCCGCTCTTAAAAACTGAGCACTTTTTTCTCTGTCAATAAATTTTTAGGAAGATTAACATTTCAACACTAATTTCAAGTTTCGTTGAGGCTAGAAATGTGTTATCTTCTGTTATAGACTTCATAAAAAAAGAGGTTTTTGTCTTCTTCATCGCCGAATGCGTATGTCTTGTGACGAAAATTGGATGGTTATACCACCCGCAGACTCACTGCCCAGTGGGAGGTCTAATATCTATAAAGTATTCTATACGGTATGTTTATCCACTCGTATTGAGTTATAACATTTATTTGCATCAGTTAAAGACAGGTAAAAAATAATTGATTCGTCATCCGATTAAATTGTTATTTGCCGTCAACCTAAAAAGCTTTTAAGTATTATTTCGTAAAATCATATTTGATTATGAAATTCGCACTAAGATAGAGAAATAGGCAGGATGCTAATCGTGCGGGTCTATATTACGCTTTACCTCCAATAAGGAATATAAAAACCACCATCTGTGCAATAAAAAAGGAACCGTTAATGGTTTTTAGGGCTATTTTATGTTAGGTAGTGATCACCAAATGATTTTGTTCATAATTATTGAAGCCTCGATATTTAAATTTATTTTATTTATTATAGTCTAACTGTCTGATCTTTTCTCTCTGTTTGACGTTTTTAAGAACAAAAATAAAGTATTTGAATGAACACATCATTAATGACACTCAGTTCAATAATAACTAGACAACAAAAAATTGCTTGACAGAAACTTCTAGTTAATCGTTTCGTTTTTATCATTCATATAGTTTTTTTGCCTTTGCAGGTAGACGAGCATACGGCCCATCTGATGGTAAGTGGTCACCGTCGCTCAGCAATGCCAGGGGCAGAGCCAAGCTGCTGCCTACCGTTAAGTACTCTCCGCAAGCCTCGTTTGAAGAAGGACATGTCATAGCGCATAGTTTTTTTTTATTTTTTTTTATTGCCGTTGTAGGCAGACGAGCATACGGCCCACCTGATGGTGAGTGGTTACCGTAGCCCATGGACTTCAGTAATGCCAGGGGCAGAGCCAAGCCGCTGCCTACCAAATAGATGTAAACATAGCACTGCTGTATCTTTGGTTTTACGAGAATATTATTAATTAAAACGGCATAGTGGCTAATTGAATTGAACAAACTTATAAATCATATTTCTAGCAGCCTGAGTTATGTTTGTTAAAATATTTATTAACAACATTCATATTAATATCGACCGGTTAGTTTTTGTGTAGATTTTATTGTCTCGCGAAACCTGGTCCGTTCCGCTGCTTTATTGCTTCAAACTCAATTAAGTTTTGTACGTAGCATAATATTTTTAAAAGATTGTTTTTGTTGGCGAATACATTTTGTGTATTTTGTATTTATTTCAATTAATAAAATAAATTTATAATTTCGTTAGGTTTTGCGAGTCCTAGAATTTTAAATTTTTCATTACCATTATATTATTTACTAGCGACCCGCCCACGCTTCGCTTTGGAAACTGTAATTTATTATTGATTTCTCCACTATTTAATGGATGTTATTATACATATATGTTATTATACCTTCCTCTTCAATCACTCTATCTATTAAAAAACCGCATCAAAATCCGTTGCGTAGTTTTAAAGATTTAAGCATACATAGGGACAGAGAAAGCGACTTTGCTTTATACTATGTTGTGATGACGTTTCGAATACTTAACAGTTTTCGTCACCGCGACCCCGTAAAACCGTGAAAGAAATTTTAATTAAATAAAACACACTATTAACACGTGTAACGTGTTGGTGAGATTCAAGATATCGACTGCGCGATTAGGCTTCCAATCTTGGGGACAGACGGATATTTCTAATTAAACGCATATTACAGTAAATGTGTTCACAGAGACGGTAAAGATGAAGGAATCACAATGCGTGCTTTTTTCCTACCTATTCTAGGAAGCTCGAGGGGTAATATAATATGTACTAGATTCTCCGGTTGAGTAGGTGAGCTCACGGGGCTTAAACCTGACGACGTTGCTAACACTAACCCTAACAAGAGCAGTGCTTCGTAGAATCTACCATCGGATCGGAAACGTGACCCACTGAGAAGATCCGCGGAGAAACTCAGTGGGCTGTGTCTGTGGGTTAATTTGCTCGCCGAGCCCTTCGTCGCGACGGGCTCGAAGAGGACGATGACCGGAGTGCATGCTAAAATTAAAACTGAATTAAACGATTTGTATAATTAGCTATGGATTAAGCACAACTATTCTACATAATATGAGCGTTTGATAGCCGTAATTACAATGAGATTGATACTTCAATTTCGTGTTTCAAATTGAGTGAAAACATTTTTATTGGGATGTTGGGCAGACCCATTGGACGAAAGTGATCACGATTGTGAAAGCTTCTGCCCAGGAACATTAAAGCATAGTGCCTGTCATATAAAGAAATGCTTAACGTACGAATAAGCAGTTTAATCATAAATTACCATTTACATTAATTACCATTAAAGATAATCGTTTTAAATTTAACGGGCTTACGTTAGATTTTTCTTTTGTATATTCGAAAACTTTTTTAAGTTTCAAATTGCACTAAAAAGATGCACATGACATTAAGTGGTTCTTGGAATCCCTATAGGTACTAAGTATGTATATGTGTTTCTATAAATCAGAATGTAAATGCCACGAACAATCTTAAAATATGAGGGCGGATTCTTAGTTGTGCTGTATAATGGCTGTTCCACTCTTTAACCGCATGGCTGCTTCGCGGTAGAGTTACGCAGGATAGTGATACTTACCCGTGCGGACTTACTACGTCAAACACCGACAGAACGGTTTGTCTTTCTCGTTTCCGTAGCATAGGAGAAAATTCTAGCTCGAAGCTTTTGAAGTGCAGAAGTCAAGCTTGGACATTATTTTCGATTTATATTAAGATAGCATTGTCATATTTCGAAATCCATTGCATTCATATTTTGCATTCGATAACATTTTCTCACTACCATATTTAGAGAGGAAGTTATGTAATGAATAAATTGGGTAAATTACCAAATAAATATGCATTAAAAAATATGATATATTATGATTACTAGAGATCCCGCAGTAGTCGAAATTCGACTATATTTAATTGGAATTGTAAGTTTGTACACTATTATGATTGTATTTTGTACTTCTATAATCACAAATTTCGCCAAGACAACACTATAAAAAATATTAACAAAGACAAACAATATTTAATCTCAATTTGACAACAGACGTCAAGAACAAAAGTTTGACAGTAAATAGTATGCATGCGTGTGTGCGTCAAATACATTGTATGTAGTGTGTGTAATGTTTTCTTTATTGATTTAATGTATCTTTTATGCATTATTTAAAAAAAAAATTAGCATTGTGCACTTCTTCTGTATATTCTCAATAAGTGTAGAAAATTTCATACTCCTCCGTTCGCGCAATTTTCGTAAAAAGGGCTACAAAGTTTTTGCTTCACGTATTAATATACAGATGATTTCTGGCAAACGATAATAATAGATCATATATATCGTATCAATACATAATATAATTAATAGATAATTCACTTCATAATTAGACTCACCATGAACTCCATATGCTCAGCTACGGTGAGATCTTCGATTGCCAAATCCTCCTGAGGCACGAAGCCTGAGATCCTGGCGATCAGGTCAGCGCCGGCTAACCTTCCATTAAGCATGAGGTAGCCCGTCAGAGCGCTCTTGTCACGACGGCTGATGGCGGCCAAGAGTGTGGTTTTTCCGGCCCCACTAAAATGTAAAAACGTCAATATTCAAACTGAAAGACGGTTTGCCAGACGATAGGTAACGCTGTTCGGATTTTTAAAAGAATTTTTGATTTTAAATATTAGTCACTTACATTTGAGAATAATACGTTCCTAATTAGTTAGCTACATAACGAAACAAAAAAAATTAAAATGGAACAAACATTACAACACTATCAAAATTCAAAGTATTCGAATTTAAAATGTATAAAAAAGAAAAACAGAAGATTATTTTAATCTTTGGTAATAAATTCCATGAAAAAAGTTCGCATGCGAACAACTATAGTCTAAAGGTGTAACGAATGAATAAATTTTGTACCTTGAACCCATTAACGCCACCAGATTTCCGGACGAGACACTGCCACTCACTGTTACGAAATAAACATATAAATTTTAAAATCTAGGATGTGGTACTATGAGAAATATTTAGACATTTGTGTTTTTTTTTATTGCTTAGTTGGGTGGACGAGCTCACAGCCCACGTGGTGTTAAGTGGTTACTGGAGCCCACAGACATCTACAACGTAAATGCGCCACCCACCTTGAGATATAAGTTCTAAGGTCTCAGTATAGTTACAACGGCTGCCCCGCCCTTCAAACCGAAACGCATTACTGCTTCACGGCAGAAATAGGCAGGGTGGTGGTACCTACCCGTGCGGACTCACAAGAGGTCCTACCACCAGTAATTACGCAAATTATGATTTTGCGGGTTTGATTTTTATTACACGATGTTATTCCTTCACTGTGGAAGTCAATCGTGAACATTTGTTGAGTACGTATTTCTTGCCTAAAAAATAATATAACGATGTCTCCTTTTAATCTAAAGTTAAACTAATTATAGTTTAAGGCGTATAAGCGAGTTTACAGTAATACAGGATAGATGGTATCATTCGATTTCAGAAATTAGATTTAATTAATGAAAAATATAACATTTTATTAATTTATAAAATCTATGAAGTTGTATTATTTTTTAATGTATTTATTAATGAATTGAAATGCATTTCCAAGTGACTTCACATCGACGCGGATATAGTCGCCGGTACACCTACTCTAGAATAAATGTATAAAATCTCTAATATTATTCTCAAGTAAATTAAAAACTAAATTAGATTTAATTTTCAATAAATTTTTACTCTAGACGTTGATATTTTTCACAAAAAAATCAAATGTTAATCGGAAATTGAATCAACACCTAGTCGGTGTTTGACAAATTTTATTCAATTCATAAATAAATTAGCAATTTCATTCTCCTAACGCTAATGTTACGTTAAGTAGATGTAGCTATTATATAAAACTTAATAGTTAGTCAATTTTTATAAATTATATTAAATATTCTTATGTATATTGGATAAAAATAAAAAATCGTCAGTGTTATTTTGCTAAGATTTTGAATTCTTATTTCCCTCACCGGAAGTTGAAAATTGATGTAGTAGAAGTTACGCAAAAAAACATGCAAAGACTCATCGCAATAGCTTCAGTGTGAAGGTTGAGACATTCTAACAGACATTATACGAAGGCTAACAAAACTTAGAAGAAGAGTTTATATCAAAGTTTTGCTTTAGAAAACAGAACAATATATCTATCTCTTAACTTCTTAGAGACAGTGCCTTTCTATCCGATGATTTGGAAGCGAAGTAAATTGTCCCTTCGTAAAAACTTGCAACCACGTCATTCCCGGTCCACTAACGGTGCTTTTAGGTCCCTCAAGCACCGGTCATCGTTCTCATCGAACCCGTCGCTTGCAACGAAGGGCTCGGCGATTAAATAAATCCACAGACACAGTCCACTGATTTTCTCGTCGGATCTTCTCAGTGGGTTGCGTTTCCAATCCGGTGGTAGATGCTGCGAAGCACTGCTCTTACTAGGGTTAGCGTTAGCAACGTCGTCAGGTTTGAGCCCCGTGTGCTCACCTACATGTTAGGTTACGCTGACATTGCCTCTCAAAGCTATCAGCTTAGGTAGGAGAAAAAAATGTAGTGCCTTCATAAATCTAAATTGTACGTGTCACCAGTCGATCAAGTAACAATAAATTTTAAAAAATCATCTCGTTTTTACCATCGCACCGCCTGCCATCGGAGTAGTAGAGTTCATCCATACTACCTTATATAATACTATATACTAATACTTGAAGTCGTCGTGGCCTAAAGGATAAGTCGTCCGGTGCATTCGTACGTAGCGATACACCGATGTTCGAATCCCGCAGGCGGGTACCAATTTTTCTAATGAAATACGTACTCAACAAATGTTCACGATTGACTTCCACGGTGAAGGAATAACATCGTGTAATAAAAATCAAACTCGCAAAAATTATAATTTGCGTAATCACTGGTGGTAGGACCTCTTGGGAGTTACAATTAAAAATAAACAAAATATTACATTTGAATTTGGAATCTGTCATTTTTATGATTCCTCATTGAGTTTTCTCATTTTGGCGCCAATACATTGTACAATATTTTGCGATATTAAGATGGAGTGGGGTGATAAAGAGAACCGAATCGCTGTGATTGCATTACACAACGTAGGTATGGAGCCAAATGCCATTTTTAAAACTCTCCATACGCTTGGTATTAGTAAAATGCTTGTGTACCGGGCTATTAATAGGTGCATGGAGACCTCCTCTGCTTGGGACAGAAAAAGATCTGGCCGTCTACGTAGTGTTCGTACGAAAAAGGTGGTCAAAGCAGTAAGGGAAAGAATTCGAAGAAATCATGTCCGAAAGCTAAAGATTTTATCTTGGGAGATGAAGATAGCACCTAGAACCATGTCGCGTATTTTAAAAGATGACTTAGGACTTGCAGCCTATAGGAGACGTACTGGTCATTTCTTAACTGATAATTTAAAGAGAATAGGGTGGTAAAATCGAAACAACTACTGAAGCGGTACGTAAAGGGACGTCATAGAAAAATGTTGTTTACGGATGAGAAAATTTTTACAATTGTGCAACAATTTAAAAAACAAAATGACCGTATTTATGCTCAAAGCTCTAAGGAAGCTTCCCAATTAGTCCACAGAGTGCAACGTGGGCACTATCCGACTTCAGTGATGGTTTGGTGGGGTATTAGCTATGAAGGAGTGACTGGGCCATACTTCTGTGAAAAAGGTATCGAAACATCGGCACAAGTGTATCAAGATACCATTCTTGAGAAGGTAGTGAAGCCCCTTAACAACACCATGTTCAATAATCAAGAATGGTCCTTCCAGCAAGACTCGGCGCCAGGTCATAAAGCTCGGTCTACGCAGTCTTGGTTGGAAACGAACGTTTCGGACTTCATCAGAGCTGAAGATTGGCCGTCGTCTAGTCCCGATCTTAATCCGCTGGATTATGATTTATGGTCAGTTTTAGAGAGTACGGCTTGCTCTAAACGCCATGATAATTTGGAGTCCCTAAAACAATCCGTACGATTGGCTGTGAAAAATTTTCCCATGGAAAGAGTGTGGCTTCTATTGATAACTAACGGGCCTCAACGTTTAAAGGACTGTATTGCAGCCAATGGAGACCACTTCGAATAAGCTTTTTATACTTTAAATTGTTTTATAATTATGTATTGATCTAACACACTGTAAAAGTAATAAATGTTATTTGCCATAGTTTTTTTTTGTTTTCCTTTGTAACAGTATTTATGGCCAGACTAAGTATACTTCTACAGTTGTTTTTACGGATGTTCCATTATAACTACTGAACCATGCATCCGATTGACTTGAAACTTGTTATCCATGTAGAAAATACATGTAGGTTTAGGCTAATATTTATATGAGTGTTAGACTCGCTACACCAGTTGCGGGGGCGTTAATGATGAGAATCTTTGTGGGGGTGAGAAATAATAATATTAATTTTAAATGGCCATATAATTTTAATTTAATTTACTGGTGGTAGGACCTCTTGTGAGTCCGCGCGGGTAAGTACCACCGCCCTGCCTATTTCTGCCGTGAAGCAGTAATGCGCTTCGGTCTGAAGGGTAGGGCAGCCGTTGTAACTATACTGAGATCTTAGAACTATATCTCAAGGTGTGTGGCGCATTAACGTTGTAGATGTCTATGGGCTCCAGTAACCACTTAACACCATGTGGGCGGTGAGCTCGTTCACCCATCTAAGCAATAAAAAAAATAAAAAAAATAAAAAAAAACTCAGACATTTTTTCTTGTCTATCAAATTGTTTAAAATTTCCACTTAGTTATGTTTTGAATCGTGAATCTCGTGAGCCAATAGACACAGCATTTATGGAACCGTCTAATTTCACAACACCACAGAAATCCGGTTCTTAATCTAAATTACGAAAGAATTCAAAACGTGGCCCTTAGAACATCTTGTGGTTAGCCACGGTAAAAAGTACAAATAGACCTTGAAATTTATATCAAGTTTTGTTTGCATAGTTGTTTGTGGATTTTATTAGGTTATAACGTGTTCTTTGCAACAACTTTACCCATGTGTGGTAAATTTTTACCCGAGTATGTTAGTTACAGTTATAGTTACCACATAAGTTACAGCGGTGGAAATTATTTTTGTTAATTAATTCAATTAAGTTTGTTAATTAATTAAATATAAGTTCTAAGGTCTCAGGTACAGTTACAACGGCTACCCCACCCTTCAAACCGAAACGCATTACTGCTTCACAGCAGTAATAGGCAGGGTGATGGTACCTACCTGTGCGGGCTCACAACAGGTCCTACCACCAGTAAAGACATTAAATTCTGAGACGATTCGGCCTAATACGGGCATGGGATTCTTATTTAAAACAGATCAAATTTTGAAATTTATTTTTTTTCAAGTACTGTTTACTAATATTGTTAACTGATTGTAAACTGATGGCCAGTTTCAGTCATCATAATTAGATTAATACAATTGCGATATTGTAAGCCCGTGTATAAAGATGGAACTGCCTACGTTTATGTCACTATGTACCTTGCCCTGACTTACTATGATGGTAATGCGTCGCTGATTGTAACTATATCAGCATTGGAACGGATAATCTAGCTAATGAAAACATATGGAATCATTATCTTCGAATTTGTACTTATCCTTAATTTTCATTAAATATTCATCATAAATTTACATGTGTTATACTACTTAATGCTTTTAAATTTGCATACACTGCGGCTAGTGATATTATTATGACTATCTATATATTAATACGTGAAGCAAAAACTTTGTATCCCTTTTTACGAAAATTGCGTGGACGGAGGAGTATGAAATTTTCCACACTTATACAGAATATAGAGAAGAAGTGCACAATGCTAATATTTTTTTTAAATAATGCATAAAAGATACATTAAATCAATAAATAAAACATTACACACACTACATACCATGTATTTGACGCACACACGCATGCTTACTATTTATTGTCAAACTTTTGTTCTTGACGTCCGTTGTCAAATTGAGAATAGATTAAATATTGTTTGTCTTTATTAATATTATTTTATAGTGTAGCCTTGGCAAAATTTGTGATTATAGAAGTATAAAATACAATCATAATAGTGTACAAGCTTACAATTCGGATTAATTATTGTAGTCGATTTTCGACTACTGTGGGACCTCTAGTATTGATTAATTCTCTATTATTATTATTCTGAATATTGATTGATGTGATCAATATTTGTTTAGGTTTATCACGCACATCTGGTCAAAAAGTATCATTGCTTTTATTAAAATATGACAAAATAATTATTAAGCTTGCTTTTATTTTTCTTCCGAATAACGATGATAGATTTTGTTTTTTGCTCACGATTCGATTTTGTGAATCTAAATTGCTGTAATTGCATAATCCTTTTTGTTTTTCTGAGGTTTCCCGGAAGAGGTCATTTTTAGCCTTAAAACTGCATCTGCTTCTTATCTATATTATATTAATACGTAAAGTAAAACCTTTGTACTTGTCATATTTTTCACACTTATAGAGAATATAGAGAAGGAGTGCAGAATGCTAATTTTTTTTTCGATTATGCATTAAAATACATAAAATCATTAAAAAAAACATTACACACCTAATGTATTTGACACACACACGCATATATACTATTGTGTATACTGTCAAGCTTTTGTTATTTTAAAAAATCTGTTGTCAAATTAATATTTATATACTCATATATTATATTATTAGATTAATATTGTTTGTATTTAATATAATTAAAATTTGTCTATAATGTAGCTTTGGCGAAATCTGTGATTATAGAAGTAAAGTCACAATAGAACCATAATAATGTTCAAACTTATAATTTAAATTTATAATTATGGTTAAATTTCGACCGCTGGGCAACCACTAGTATTATTATTTGTTCTATGTTCGCAATTGGTTACTTTTTGGATGCAATCAGTTTGAAGGACACAAAAGCCGTGATGCAATGGAATTGAAAAGGAGATCTCTTTGTGGGTTTCTCTAATATATATTCATATTCTGACAACTCTATCCTATGATTTGAATGCCACTATACGCGAAAGGTCTTAGTTAATATTCAATTTTATTAGTAATTTTTCCTAAGACTCTAATACATCAAGACAAATATTTATGATTTCACAAAGATATTTGCATATAAACTCAATAAGTAAACATAATCAATAACATAATTTTTAATTTCGGGTATTTTAGCTCATTTTACAACAAAATAAAATATGTAAATGTCAAATTCAAATAATTTTCTTTTTTGATTATATAATTTTATCGAAATGCGCTTTAAATCATATGCCATATTATTGTTGGCAAGAACATATAATGGAATCCTCGCTAAAATATATAATATAATTAGAAAACCGTCTATTGATAAAAATAGATTAGAAATAAATATGTTAGCTATCTATCATTTTAAATATTCTTAAGCTGACTTTAAGCTTGGAACTTGAAATATTGTTACTTTTATTTCTTTGAATGCAGAGTCAATCTATCTAGTTTATCCTCGCAATTCAAACTCGCACATGACTTTAAAATGAAATATTTAATATTATTAAAGGTTTTTTTTTTCAAAAGAAATTTACCGTCCTTACTTTAAAAAAATTATTGAAATAAAATAAATCTGGAGGAAGAAGGAGGAATAAAATCAGAAATGAAGAATTAAGGAGTAGTCTGAAAGTAGTGCTAGTCACAGAGAAATGGAAGGTTATCGCGGTATGCAAAGAGAGGATGATTATGTAGCCAAAAAGATCCTGATATGAGAGTGAGAGGTAACGTTAGAAGTGAACGCCGTAACAATAGCTGGATTAACTGTATTAAAGAGGACATGAGAGAGAAAGATATGAGTGAGGGGAGAGAGATAAGTAGGCCTAAATAGAATAAGAGAACATACAACATCGACTCCACATAATTTAGGATAAGTGTAAGAGGAAGAAAAATTTATGTAAAAAAACCTCTGTTATAGTTGTTGCATAATTAATATACAAAATTGCCTTTTTCGTTACCTTACCTTTTACATTAATTTACCTTGATTTTATTGTAACAACATTAAAAAAAGCTAGAGATTGTAATAGTAAATAGAGAACTCGAAATTACTCGTGCATTCAATTTTGTCTGATCGTAAAATCTCTGTTAAAACTTACATAAACGGATCTTAATAATGATGATCAGACATCAATAAATTAAAATATTAAATGTTAGATACATAACGAAGATAAATTCGTTAAACCTGATTAAGTGTTTTGCACCTGTGTATTTATTTAAAATATATTTGTTGTTATAGCATTAACAATAGCAAACATGTGTAATAAAATAGATGAACTACAGCGTCTAGTTTGCATAAACTGATTTACTGACTATATTTCGTTTTTATTACCGTCATCAATTATATTTCGATATCTTTGAAACTAGCGAATTTTGCGCTAAAACAAGTTTTTTTTCCCTACCTTAGCTGATGGTCTAGAGATACTATATCAGTGTCACCGAGCTAGTAGGTGAGCTCACGGGGCTCAAACCTGCTGACGTTGCTAACATGAGCCTTAGTACGAGCCATGCTTCGCAGAATCTACCACCGGATCGGAAAAGTGACCCACTGAGAAGATCTGGCGAGAAAATCAGTGGGCTGGGTCTGTCGGTCAATTTACTCGCCGAGCCCTTCGTCGCAAGCAACGGGTTCGACGAGAACGATGACTGGAAAATAAGTTGATAATCGGAGAAAATTATTAATATTTTCTTTATAGGTAACTACTCAAACCCAGATCGCTTTGCTGGCGATGTTTGTTTTCATTTTAATTCGTTGGCTATCCAAGCTTACAGGATATTTAAACATATACATTATAAAGACATAAAAGCTGTAAAACTATAGTATAGCATATTTGTAAATCAATGAAATGGTAAAATACCTCCATGCAACACTTTAACCTCTTCATAGACCGCCGATCTCCACATGCTAGTGTGTATTTTCTTCTTTCTAAACACAGATAAGTCCTTCCAAGCTAATGTCAGATTCTCCGGGCTATCTCCCATTACTCCCATTTCGTCGTCCTCCCAGTTGACCACGGCTCCGGTGAGGACATTGCGTGTGGGTAGCTTAAGATTGTATTCTTTCATGTTGAGGATGTTACGTCATTGGGTACTGAAACGAAATGAGCTTATTAGAAATATGAACTTTAATGGCCAAGAAACGAATAAAATGTGATATTTTTTTCTTTTAATTTTAATGTTAATAATAATAAAATGCAAATTACAGTCAAAACAAACCAAAGAAAACCAAGAACGGATGAACCAAAATAAACACCTTAAGAAGAAACAAAAAAGTCCCCCTCTATAGCACGATGTAATGGATGCTGCATCAGGCAGGTGACAATCCTAAAATTCATGTTAAATCTCTATGCAGCATGTATATACTGCGCTGAATTGACATAATCTGGGATACGGACAAAAAGAAGAAGAAAAATATGCTTACAAAAAAATTTGACTAATTGGTAAATCGATAAGTCTTTGAAACACACAGTATTTCTTGAAATTGCACAAGTTATCGACAATACTCGTTGACCAAATTTTTCAATAAAACAGTACACGCCCCTGAGACGCAAACCAACACATTTGTTATTTAATGAAGCCATACAAATTTAATATAAATTAGAAGACCTGTCCTGGGCTTATTGATTTGCTTGTATTGTGTTGTTAATAAGAAGTACAGTGTGCATGCTTACAGCAGGCATGCGCTAAGTAATTATCTAAATAGATAATATGTCTTTGTCAAAAATGGGGGATCAACCCTGCAGCTTGTACCATTTCGCACTGATGGTAGGACCTCTTGTGAGTCCCCACGGGTAGGCACCACCGCCCCGCTTATTTCTACCGCGAATCAGTAATGCGTTTCGGCTTGAAGGGTGGGCCAGCCGTTGTAACTATACCTACTGATACCTTAGAACTCATATCTCAAGGTCGGTGGCGGAATTTACGTTGTAGATGTCCATGGGCCCCAGTAACCACTTAACACCAGGTGGGCTGTGAGCTAGTCCACTCAACTAAGCAATAAAAAAAAAGTTTAATAAATTTAAAATCCAAATAGAAATCGTTTTTTGTACCAACCAAGATACATTTACAGTCAATCCGCTCTTTAAATTGATCAAACCGTCAATACTTCCTGTTTTAAGTTTACCAATTGACCCGATTTAGTGTTTCGACATATTTTTTTTGTTTCTTCAAGAATACAGTCTTCGATCTTATGTTCTTATAATAATGTCCAGTTACGGATTTAAATTCGTGTAATAATTATTTCGATTGATTCCTCGCGTATCACTCAAGGATCCTAAAGACACCTCAAGCAGAGTAGGAGCATATTTGATTTTGTAAAGATCAATAGGATAGTTAATTTCTCATTCGTTGCGAGGTTACTGGAGTTCATAGAGACTATAAACTGAATAATGCTTCCCACCTTCGGGCATGAACTCGAAGTCTTATTAGTGCTGTACAAACCGGAGCGCATGAATGATTCGCGGTAATAATTATAAGCCAGATAGTGGTACCCGGTGGTAGGATTACAGATATATATATAAATAAAGCTAGTTACGTAAATTTTTGTGCAACAATATCAGACTGTTTTTGCAGTAAGCAACAGCCTGCATATACATCTGTTATTGCTGATGTCCGTAAACGACATGATCATTTACCATCAAATAGACGCCAAGCTTGTCTACCTACAATCTTTAAAAAAAATTAAAAGAACTCTGATATTAATAAAACTACGGTTGATAGGCGCACTTGGGCTTTGAAGCTTAAGTTAATCTCTTAAAATTTTCGGCTCCTTGCATTATTCGTAATAAAAAATACAATACCTAGCCTATTATGTTCAGTATAAAAACAACGTGTAACGAATTACAGCATGATAGACCACGAAAAAAAAAGATATAGCGTGCAAAAAAGCATCAGTGCAAAATCTTAACACTTAAAATATTAGTTATTAAATTATACGATCATGATTTATGTGTGAAAAAAGTAAATCCGATACTAAGCTCGCGGATGTTCGGGTTTCAATATTAAACACGAGTATTTTTTCATTACCGGGATATAAATAAACTTTGTAGATTATATTATTGTAGAAGGCAGTGCTTAGCAATATGGTAATTAGCGCTGTAGTACAGAGCACCCTATTTATATATATAATACGTAGACGATATATTCTTAGTTGCTCTATTATATATTCATAGTTCTTCTTTTTAAGTTGTCGTGGCCTAAAGGATAAGACGTCCGGTGCATTCGTATCGAGCGATGCACCGGTGTTCGAATCCCGCAGGCGGGTACCAATTTTTCTAATGAAATATGTACTTAACAAATGTTCACGATCGGCTTCCACGGTGAAGGAATATAACATCGTGTAATAAAAATCAAACCCGCAAAATTATAATTTTCGTAATTACTGGTGGTAGGACCTCATGTGAGTCCTCACGGGGGTAGGTACCACCATCCCGCCTATTTCTGCCGTAAAGCAGTAATGTGTTTCGGCTTGAAGGGTGGAGCCGCCGTTGTAACTATACTGAGACCTTAGAACTTATATCTCAAGGTGGGTGGCGCATTTGCGTTGTAAATGTCTATGGGCTCCAGTAACCACTTAACACCAGGTGGGCTGTGAGCTCGTCCACCCATCAAAGCAATAAAAAATAAAAAAATCTAAACGACAATGGTGTTGCATATTGCAGTAGTAAATAGCATGCTATTTATAAAAAAATACTCCATTAATTAGGTAGTGCTATGGAATGTGGTGTTTAACGCTGTAGTGGGATAGCACGCTATTAATTTAAGTTAAACTTAGACAATATATTATAGCTTACGTTAATGGTGCTATAGTGCATGTTGTAGAAGTCAATAGCACGCTATTAACAAATTTTGTCGCTGGGTCCTTAGTAAAATGATATCGTAACCTCACTAATGATTTTGTAATTGCAAGAATTATTGTATTGTGTTCGTCAGTCGTCTGCGTCACACAATATCAGTTTTAAGTCGTTTTTTCGACATTGTAATTTCTATACTATCTATACTAATATTATAAAGAGGAAAGATTTGTTTGTTTGTTTGTTTCGAATAGGCTCCGAAACTACTGGACCGATTTGAAAAAATCTTTTTCCATTAGAAGCCGACATTGTCCCTGATGAACATAGGCGACTTTTTTTTTTTTCTTTTTTAATTTTTTTTTTTGGTTTCATGTGTGTTTTAATGTTTCCGAAGCGAAGCGAGGGCGGGTCTCTAGTCACTTAATAAAGTGACATTATGAAACAATAGTTCTTGATATATCCAAGAGCTAGCAGAACCTGTCGAGATTGAAATATGTTCGATTATGAATTTGTTTTTGAATAGAATGCCATAATGAGATAAGTTATGACTAAGATTATGCATAGTTAAAACTTTTAGAATATTTTACACAATAAGAGTATGCTAATGTCGTCGAGAAGCTTAAATATTCGAAGCGACTGAAATGAAAATTGAAAAAACATGTGTGGTGTCGTGGAAACGAAGCTCCTTATTGTAAAAATATTAATTTTAAGTTCTATTCGAGGTATAAAGAAAATAATTATTCGGGTATACGATTTTTATTATGATTTTTATATTGATAAAAAAAAAGAAGACCAAAACCAAAACAAATTAATATACACTAAAAACAATAATCATCGAAAGCGGTTGGCGTGATATTGAGTTCTTTATCTATTTGTCGCACACGTACTTAATGCAAATTTAAGGCTTATATGGTTTTCTCATGGATACCATTATCAGAACTGGACTAAATTGAAATGAGACCACACGGAAAGCGTCAACTTTCTAATAAAAAAAGAATCATCAAAATCGATTCACCTAGTCAAAAGCTATGAAGTAACAAACATAAAATCTTACGTTACGGACGTTTTTTCCCGGTTAGGGTACCGCATCGTCCCATAAGGAGCTTCGTTCCAATAATGAACATGAGAATAAGCCGCAAAAATATTCAATCATTTTGAAGGTGGGCGCCGGCAATCATCTTGTCGTGTGACAGACCACGTAATACCAGGTAGGCCAAAAGCTTACCCATCGACAAATAGTAAGACGGATATAAAATTTAGAATAAGATATAGAATTACGTTGAATTGAATTCAAGACATTTTTTGTGTTCACAGTCACGTGTAACATATCTGACATAATATTGTGTAATCTTATTAATTGAGTTTTAACTAAAACCTGCCAAGTTGTGTTATTAAAATTTACAAAGCTATGAATTAATTTAATTTAAACGTCAAGGAATTTTAAATTGACTAGACATTATGTTAGAAATTCGTTGGAATAATGAATGAATGAAACGCAAATAGGTATTACATTTTCTCTTTTGTTTTGTACCTTTTTTTTAGGACTAAAAGCTGAAAAAAAATATTTTGCTATTTTTTTTTAAATAATAACACAAAACTTTGTCCAGAGGTACTGAAACTAGGAATAAAATCGATTGACAGAAGGAGTAAACAAGTTACTGAAATAAATTGTCATTCCACATTTGTATGTATTTAGAAGTATAGTAAAAAATATAGAATTAAAAAATTGCTTATTTACAATACCACGAACATGAACTCGTTAGATTGTATGGAAATCGTTAATATACCGGGTTCTCATGCAACTATTCTTGTGGTAACGACCTTTTTCATTCATCAAAAAATCCCAATTAAAATATAGTCGTTAAAATGTCTATAATAAGTTTCAATTACAATATTTAGATAAAGTTGTGGCTTGTTTTTCTTGCAATTAGCACGTGTTCAAACCAGGTGGAGTATTTAACTAAATATATTGGCATATCAGTCTGACTAGTGAATCTTATCTCCAAAATTATACATAGTTTATCAAACATAGCTGGCACGTGGGGCCAGGTTCGACACGCGAATATTAAAAAAACATTGTTTTTTTTTTCAATATTAGGCAGAGTTATTCATCTACCAAGTACTCTGTGTATCATCAAGCTATGTTGAACAGATTATAGTTAATAAAATTCTACCAGATTATCTTGAGAAGATTTCACAATAGTAGATTAAGGTTTTGAATTTTTTTCGATCTTTTACAAATTCTCTAATATTCAAACTAGTTTTGTGTCCGGTCGTGTAATTGAC